GGATGTGGGGAAAAACCAATTACTTCTTTCTACAAAGTAAAAGTAGCAATAAACTGTCTCTTAAGGACATTTTGCTATACTCATAGATTAGTGCCTTGCGCAGTCAACATCAGAGAAATGTCCTCCCTCCTGCAGCAGATGGGAACAAATACAGAGACCCACGCCAGACATTTATGCAGAGAACAAGAGACCTTGAAGCACTCAATCCTAACAGGCTCTCTTCAACAAATACCTAACCTTAGGGCTCAGAGAACCATAAAGAAGAGGAGGCAGAAAGAGTGGAAGAGCCAGAGGGGATGGAAGACACTAATAAAACAAGGCCCTTTAAACCAACATGAGCAAAGCTCGTATGAACTCACAGAGACTGAGGCAGCATGCACAGGGTCTGCATAGGTTTGCAGCAGGTCATTTGGGTAAATATTATGTCTTCGAGTTTAGAGTTTTTATGGGATTCCTGAGTGTGTGAATGAGTGGGTCTCTGTTTCCTGTGTCTTCTTTGGGGCTCTTTTTCTTCTGTTTATGTTTTTTCTCCAATTCCAATATGTTAGTTTTTTGACTTACCTATATTATATTATATTGTATCATATTATATTATTATCCCTTAGAAGCCTGTTTGTTTTCTAGTGAGATGTAGCAAGAGAGTAGATCCTGATGGAAGGAGAAGAGGGGAGGAATAGACAAAGGGGAAACTATAACCAGGATATATTCTGTGAGAGAAAAAAATCTATTTTTAATAATAGGAAATAATTATAAATTAAATCAGATACAAAGAAAAAGATAAGATCCTTCTCTCATTTAATGTGGTTATATTTAAACTTAATGGTTGACACTACTAGTTTATATTTAAACTGCCACCCAGCCTATGGCGTCAATGACTTTCTGGGTAGTGGAACTGAAAGACAAAAGGACCAGTTGTTCATCATTGAACAACAACTCCTATTCCTGTGGACTTCTGTTTTGAGACAACAAAAGTGCTATTGTTTTAGCTGTTATCCTTGTTATTTGAGACGTCATTTCACTGTGTATCCTAGGCTAGCCTAGAACCCATGTTGCAGCTTAGGATGGCCCTTAACCATGAGTTCCACTGCAGCTTCCAGAGTGCTGGGATTACAGGCACTACCACACTATTAGATGTGATATATTAAAAGGAGATAATGATTAGATATAGATTTGGAAAAGAGAGATGGATAGGATAATAGAAAACCTAAAAAGAAACAATTTAAAAACTCAAAATGAAAAAAGAGTCTAAAGAACTTGAATCAAGCATGATATTAGGTACATAATCTTGAACCCTTAAGGTACTTGACTTCCTTAAGTCTTAATTTTATTATCTAAAGATGGAATGGAATGATGCCAGAATTTTCCAAGGTCTAAACATAACAAAAAAGCATTAAATAAGTTAAATAATAAAATAATAACCTAAATTATAATAAGTGTATTAAATCTAAATGATAATTTAAATTAGAAAGAAATATGAGGAGAAAACATTAAAAGAAGTTAGGAAAAATATCCTGCCTTTCTGACTTTATAAGCTTCATAAAGATAAACACATATTTTGACTACAATTAGAAAATAATGTGCCATAACTTCCAAATTTCAAAGAAATATTTTCATATTTTTTGATAAATTTCCCATTAAGCTTAAAAAAAAGTAGTGGTGGTTGGAAGAGGAACCACAGTCAAATGTGTGTTATTATTCACCAGCTAGTCATAGATATTACAGCTTTCAAATTTTTTTCTCATTTCCCTTTCCCTGATACAAATTTTAATCCTCCTTCATTCTTTCTAGTTATTCATGATCTTATTGGAAGACATCTAGAGTAAGGATTGACTAGGGAGGATGGAATGTTATGGGAGAGGTGAGAGGGCTTGTAGAGACAGTAATCAGAATGTGTTTATACACAGATTTTATCACTAATGAACCGATTTTTATCACTTTTATTACTACAAAGATTAATAACTTTGTACATCCTTCCTAATAAATAAAATAATTATTTTTTCAAACTTTCTTTTTATAGACAAAATGAAAGTGGGATGACAAAAATAATGTAATGATTTATCCCTCTCATCACACACACTCACATATGCATATATACACACAAACATACACATACACACACAAACACACACATAGAAACATACACACATGTGCTACACACACACACACACACACACACACACACACACACATGCATGCAAGCACACAAAGAATCCATCTAAGTACACTTCCCAGTAGATTATACATGTTCATTTCTTTCAGAAATCCCTAAACACAATTTATTTTACTTTTTAGTAAACCTTAGATTGATTATTGTTAGGTGTGGTGGTGCATGCCTAAAATACCAGCACTTGAAAGGGTGATTCAGGAAATCTACTGCAAGTTCAAGGTCATCCTAGATTGCATCAATCAATCAATCAACCAATCAATTACTATTTTTAAAAATTTTTCCACACTTATCATAAGTGTGAGAACCTTCATGTTTCCACCTCCTTTAGTACATGGTGCTAGTTTGGTATCCTTTCTGTGAAGAACTGGAGTGACAGGGGAGTGTATGAAAGGAAAATTGTGAACACTACTGGAGTACACACACACTCTCCTCAGTCTGTTGCACAACAACCACTCTCCAGCACACCTTCCTACTCTTGACCAAGGTTTCTGTCTGGTGGTTTTTTCACTCTGATCACCTGTTACAATGAGGAAATTTGGATACTGATATTGTGGTCTTGATATGGACATTCTGCATTAGGGTTTGCTTCAGCATTCAAAAGTCTCAATGCTGTTCTATCCATAGGATGCTCTGTGCAGTTACTGAGAGTTAGGGGCAATGAATAATAGAAAACAAAACTGTGAAAGAAAACTTGGATAATGCACCTTTCTGTTAGACTTTATTTTTCTTTCATGGAAGGAACTAAACATGTTCAGTCTGTGTTTAGACAACATTGGACAACCTAGTGTCCATTTTGTTTATTTGACAAACATCTGTAAGTCACCTTGCAGTCTTTTACTGACTTTTTTTTTTTCTTTACAAATGGAGACTCACATCTCAGTCTCACATCCATGCTGGGGTAGGCATGGAGAGGCTTAACAAGTTGCAAATGATATGAGGCAGCCAAGTCCAGGCAGATTTCTGTGCCCTGTGGTTGATGAGGGTTGGCTTGTCCTGGTTGTGCTGGGCTGTGTGGAACACTCTAAAACAGGGAATTCATTTTGGCTTTAAAACAGGGAATTCATTTTGCCTTTTCCCACTCCTATTATATCTCTGTAAGACAGGTTTAAACCAAAATTACTCTTAAAACTTCTGTACCCTGATGCTGAATCCAAGTTTTCTAAAACCCATGGCCAAAAATGAATTGGACATTAAGTAAAAAGGTCATGAAATTCTCCATCATAAAATAGACATGTCAGTACTTACAGAGAAAGTGAGGCCAACACCCAAGGCTTGATGAGGCTTGGAATGAGACTTTAGGTGTGATTTGTTTTCTATGTCACCTGCATCAGGTTTTTCTACTCCAAGGACAAAGGGGTTGCATGCTGAGTACCCACTCCCTAGTGTTCTTGGGTTCTGTTTTCCAAGGGACAGAGGAGGTAAGTGCCCTAGCTCAGCCTGCCCCACCTGCCCCTCTAAAACCTGAGCTCTGGAAGTGGTTCTGAACACTTCAAAGATTAAGGCTGAAGCCCTTGTATCAGGAAAGTTTCAATTTCAGAAGTTCTAACACCTCGGAGGGAAGGAGGAAGTTATACCGAATCCACACAGAAGATGTCATGTTCCAGGCTCCCTGCCCCAGAAATAAACATAGTTCAACTGTGGATGATGATGTCTGTTTCCATCAAGTTGAAAGGATACTTAAAATTTTGAGAAGTTGAAACAGTGGAACTAGTGTCCTCTGAAGTTTGCAGTGCTGGAATGTATTTGAGAAGTTGAAACAGTGGAACTAGTGTCCTCTGAAGTTTGCAGTGCTGGCTGAGATTTTTATAGACCTTATTTCAGATATATATGAAGTATGCAGAACTAAAAACTATGGAAAGGCAATATGCCACAGGGTCTTGTGTCTCCGTGCAAGTTGCAGTTTAATTCACAATAGGAAAGATATGGAAACACCTAGGTACCTATCAGCACATGAGTAGATAAGGAAAATGTGGCATGTGCACATAGTGGGGTTTTATTCTGACCTAAAGAATGAACTTACTTACCAGAATATGGATGAAACTGGAGAACACTCCAAGGAAAGACAGTCAGTTTCAGAAAGACAACACGTTTTCTCCCACATGGGGAATTTAGATTTCTGTATGTGTGCATAAGACATAAAGAGGGGAAATAAGGGGCCAACTTGGAGCCGGGGTGGGGGCAGCAATGGAGGAAAGAGTGAGGGTGGTGAATATGAGGGAAAACGGTGGTGTGTTTGTATGTGTGTGAAATGTCAAAATAAAGCAAATCATTGGGTGTCCAACTAAGATTTTGGCTTTGGGACCTCGCCTTAAAAACAATTAAGGACAGAGACAGAAAGGATGTATACACAAGACAAGTTGGTGAAAAGGTTGGCTCTCTCTGCTTTTCCTGAACAGCAAATTCTTCAGCCCCAAACTGTCACATAATTGCTTTTCTCTGTTGGCCTCTCGCCACCCAGTGGCGGATTTATTTCTACCTTCAACTTTAGCTCTCCAACCTCTTCCTTGCGCCAATGATTTGGAGTCCCTGAACCAAAACTCATATCACAGGGGGTCACTCCAGGGCCGGCAACACTCACTGTCCTTTGTGGGGAGTAGGGAGGGCTTGAGACAGGACTCGAACATCCCATTGTCCCCAGTGGGCAAGCAAGACCGGGAGGAGCTACTAGTAGCACGCCAGTGTCCTCAACACACTCATCCCATGAGCCCAGGGGTGTGGCTCTGTCTTTTTTTTCTGACACAGGGACCTGAAGCCCCAGGAATTTCCCCAGACCGGTGCTGGGGCTTTTCCAACCACCATGCATAAAAGGGGCTCCCAGAGCCCTGGAGCCCCAGACAGTGCAACAGAGCCTCCAGCCAGCTCCTGTGCTCCAGACTTCAGCTACACTTCTGATCAACGCCATGGCCCCAGTCACCAGGCCACTCCTCCGTGCAGCGCTGCTTTTGCTGCTGCTGTTGCTGGCCACCAGCCACCAGGCTACAGGTGAGACCCGGGGCTGCTGTCGCTGGAGGAGCCTCAGCTGGGAGCAGCAGCCCTCAGCCCGGCTGACCCAGTGTCTTTTCTCACAGGGTCAATTGTGGCCACTGAGCTGCGCTGTCAGTGCCTGAAGACCCTACCAAGGATTGATTTTGAGGACATCCAGAGCTTGAAGGTGACGCCTCCAGGACCCCACTGCACCCAGACGGAAGTCATGTGAGTGTCTTCCCGGGGATGCCTCTGTCATTGCCAGTCTCCCAGACCCTCTTGCTGCTCCATGCTCACCCCAGTGGGACCTCGTACCTTTCTCTCTGCAGTGCCACTCTCAAGGATGGTCAAGAAGTTTGTCTCGACCCTGAAGGCCCTAGGCTTCAGAAGATTATCCAAAAGATACTGAAGAAGTGAGTGATGTTTTGTTTGCACTTTGTGAGCCTCATCTGAGTCCTGCCATCTGACTCCTAAAAATTAACTTACACCAGGGAATGTCACAGAACTATAGTCCTGATTATTATTTTTACAATTGTTATAATCTGTCTGATAATTAGTCTATTACGGTGCCGGCAGGATTTTCCCAGGATCCTTTATCCCCACTTGGAGCTTACCTCCATTGTATAAGAGTAGGTAACACTGCTTTTTTTTTTTTAATTATCTGTCTTGACCTCCCAACATGTGTGTGTGTATGTATGCATGTATGTATACACACACACACACACACACACACACACACACACACGTTGTGCCCATTATCCATCTAGCTCAGGAAAATTTAGCTTGAAACTTAATAAAAATGAAAAATAATAGTACTTCATGAGCTGAGACCTGCTGTGACAGACAAACTGCAACAGCTCTAGCCTTTTGAGAACCTGGATCCCCACTCCACCTCCTCCCTGAAGGAGCACATCTACTATGGCTGAAGTTTCTGCACTATGGCCAGTGGGGCCAAGTTGTACTCACAAAACCTAGGAGAAAGAAGAATGCTGTGCACCTAATAAAGGTATCTGTTTTCTCATGACAGGGCCAAGTCCAGCTGAGGCAGGAAAGGAGGAAGCCCTGGTCCTGATGGAGGACCTGTCTTCTAAAGCAGAGGAAAAAAGTGATCCTGCCTAAGGCCATCGAGATGAGCCTCTCCTGTTTGCTTTGAACAACTCTCGAGAGTCCATATTTATTTATTTTCCCCAAATTCTATGTTAATATTTTATATGTAAAATAACTAAGGGTATAGTTGAAACTGCTTGCAAGATGCCATTGAATTTACTGTTTATTTAATATAAAATCTGAGATGAATAAATCCTCATTCTTAATTGGAAGGTTAAAGGTTTCCCTCTTCTCGCAGGGAATTATATTAATATTTCTGAGGCAGCCATTCCATGCTGACCATGGTGTTGGTAGCTGGGGTAGTGAATGGGCAAAGGAGGTCATTTTAATGTAGGGCGAATATATGTGCACATCTACTTTGTACCGGTGAAAGACTATCAGTTGTTATTTATTGAAGTGTTTTACAGCATTAGAGTGAGTGATCAATTTGTGTTGAAGCTTTGAGAACTGTAATTTCTGTATATGCCTTAGACATTTTAAGTGATTTCTGTAAGACACAATGCCTTTTTAATGCATCTATGTCTTAGAACTGAGAAGTTTAAATATTTATTGGTATTTTTTTCTTTTTTTGTTTTTTTGAGACAGAGTTTCTCTGTGTAGCTTTGGAGCCTATCCTGGCACTCCCTCTGGAGACCAGGCTGGCCTCAAACTCACAGAGATCAGCCTGCCTCTGCCTCCTGAGTGCTGGGATTAAAGGTGTGCACCACCAACGCCGGTATTTATTGGTATTTTTACAAAAAATTTGGAAATAAAATATTTAAAAGTAATGTTTGTTTTATTTCCTTGGAAGACTCTTGATAAAGGTTGACCCTATGATCTACATCAGTGTTTCTCAAGTTTTCTTCCTGCTTCTCAGGCATTCAGTTGGTTACAAAAATAAATCATACTGTAAGTCATGGCTCTGTTCACTTGCTGGTGGCTCTTATTCCCCACCCAAAAATATACTTTTCCCAGTACTGACTCCTAGGAGATTCCTCATCTCCCCAATTCTAGTTCCAGGGCATCTGATGCCCTCTTCTGGCCACCTATGGCCCCAGGCACTCACATGGTACACAGATATATATGCAGGTTAAACATCCATGCAAACAAAATACATTTTCTTTAAAAAAAAAGAGAAAGAAGTTCCTTACGACCTTGCCACCCTAGTTTGTCTCTTAAAATATGTACATTCTTGTAGCCAACTAAAGGACCTTATTCCATTGTTTTTTCTAAGTAATTTTCCTTTCTTTTCTAACTTTATACTTTTTAATTTTATTTATTTTACAGCCCGCCTGTAGCCTCCACTCCCTCCTTTCCTTCCACTCTCCCTCACTCCTCTCCACCCCCCCTATCAATCCATGCCTCCTCTTTATCTGCTCAGAAAGGGCCAGGCCTCCCATGGACTTCAGCAAAGCATGGTATATCAAGCTGCCATGAGACCAAGCACCTCCCCCTGTATTCAGACTAGACAAGGCAATCCAGCATGAGGAATAGGTTCCCAAGAGACAGTCAAAGCACCAGGGGTGGCCATGTTCCCTATTGCTGTGAATACCACATATAGGCCAAGCTACACAATTGTCTCATATAGGTTAGGTTGGTCCCCTCAAAGTTCCCTGGTTGTTGGTTCAGATTCTGTGAGTTCCCATGAGCCAGACTAACCATTTCTGTGGGTTTTTCCATGATGTCCCTAACCCTTTGGCTCCTACAATCCCTCCTCCCTCTCCTCTGTCTGAGCTCACCCTAATGTTTGGCCAAGGGTCTCTGGATATGCCTCTATCAGTCAATGGTTGAAGATTCTCTGATGACAACTGGGGTAGTCACCAATATGATCACAGGGTATGGCCAATGCAGATTATGCTTCTACTACTGTTGGCAATTTAATAAATTTGGCAGTGAAATGGTGGCAAACTTGGTGTTTTTTTCTTTAAACTCAATTGTCTCACCAGACGTGGAAAAAGTAAGTGGCTGAGTAGAGCACTTTACAAAAGGGTCTGAGATTTGGGTATAACACTCTACTTTATTATGTATGCAATTACTACTCATATTCATGCTCTAATTCTTTTTTTTTGTTTTTCAAGACTGGGTTTCTCTGAGGCTTTGGAGGCTGTCCTGGAACTAGCTCTTGTAGACCAGGCTGGCCTCGAACTCACAGAGATCCATCTGCCTTTGCCTCCTGAGTGCTGGGATTAAAGGCGTGCGCCCCCACCGCCCGGCCCTAATTCTTTATATCAATATGCAAAATACTGATATATATGTGTGTGTGTGTGTGTGTGTGTGTGTGTGTGTGTGTGTGTGTCTATGTTTTGGATTTGATTTCATTAGTTCTCACCCCTCTTAGTGACATTTTTATAGACCTTGAAAGAAAGCCTTTCAATGGCTTGTGTACAATGCTGCTCAGGATGGGAACTGCACTCCAGTTTTTAAGGACAAAATTTTGTGAAGAAGAAAACATCTCAGTAATCTGAAGTTAAACCCCAAATCCGGAAATGAGTCTTTTGTGTGTGCACCTGTGAAGTAAGTGCTTGTTGCCTGTTTAGGAATTTATGACTCATTAGGAAATCCTGAGTTTTGGTAGATGTCTATCACAGAGGCAAGAAGATAGCCCTGGCAGCCTGAGTGTTGCAGATCTTTCAACTTGTTCCAAACTGAATAAATAAGTCCATGAGCAGCAAGAAACAAGCTCTGTGGCCTCCCTCACCCCACACATCTAAGGTTGAACGTTTAATAATTTTTTTAGCTCCTAGGTTATTGGTTACAAATGATTCAGGAAAGAAGAAAGTTTGCAAACAACACAAAAATAAATTCACTGAAACCTGTCTAAAAGCTCTGCAATGCTAGCATTTCCTCCCTAACTCCAAGTGACTGGGCACAGGAAAATGTTTAGAAGAGACAACCCAGGGGTTGAGTAAAGCCATAATTCATACTTAAGACCCTCTAACATTGGACTTTGCTCTTTAGGCTTCAATGTCCTTGTCAGTAGTAAACACAAGAAGGACAGAGAACATCCTTATGGTAGTTAAAAATCAGATTTCAAAGTATCAGATTGTCATTGGGGTTAATTGCAATTCTATCATAATCTTGGGGCAACTTTCTTGACTTCAATCAGCTTAATTTCCCTTCCTAAATAGAATTCAGAAAGAACAAGAATGTGTCTTTTGAAATAAGGAAGAGATTAAATACTAATGGCTCAAAAACTATGATTATTTGCTATTGTTCCTAAGCCCAATTCCAAGGATATATCTTAGTTTCATATCAATGAAACGGATATGAAAAATGTAGTTTTCCTCATCCAATTCTACTGAGACTTATAAGCTGCCATCTCTCTCTTCCAGAATGTTATGATGATAAAGAAGTAGGACATAGGACATGTGAGGTGGTAGTCACTGGATGAAGGTAACAAGAAATAAAAATGATATAACAGCACAATTTCATGAGACCGGCTACTGGAAACACCAGTGGTGACATCATTGGGACTCCCAAGGAAGGCCTCCACTCTCCTGACCTCAGGAGCTATGTGGCTGCTTCAGCGGCATCTTCCTGGGACTCCCAGAAGTAACCAAAGAACAGCAGGGATGTTAGAGGTGGAAGATCACAACAGTACAGTGTGGCAATCTGGGAAAAGAAGTGATGCCATTTCTCTACCCATGCAAAGCCCAAGACAAAGAGCCTGTCTGTGTGCATCATCAGTGTCCCCTCACTCACCAACTTTTCAACTTAGTGTTTCTGTCTTCCTGCCTGAGGCTTCCTCATCTGAAGGAAAAGCAGACATGGCAGATGGTTTGCTGAACTTACAGACTGAAAAAATCTGGGATACAAGGCCCTCAAGAGCATCCTTCAACCCCCAGGGGCAGGTGGTGGGAGGCATTTAAATGAAGACAACATTATTTCTAGCCTTATGTTGTGCATAATTGGCTGTTTGCCTTTACTCCTAAATGACTTAAAGAGAGGGACAATTGTAAGAAAAATTTTACAAGTTTACCTAGTATAAAAACAAGAGGCTTAGTTGTCCACTATGATACCTCATCTTTGTGCTGTTTGCTGCCTTTCTCTCTTCTCTCCCGGCAGTTCTGTTTGCTCTCACTGGTTCTTTTTGTGATATAAATCTTTGTATCAGATTCTACTTTCAAAGGAAACCAAATTTGGATACTTGGGGCTTCCCAGAAACTAGACTTCAAGGTATTGCTATTTTATTAATGAGTAGACTCCTTGAGAATTAGGGGTTTGAGTGGGGGAGAGAACATGAAGTGAGCCAGGGAATCTATGATATCTGACTGTAGATACACATTGTAGCATGGCCAACATCATCAGGTGGAATAGCACTCCATGGACACTCTCAGCTGAGCCATAGGTCTCTTGGGAAGCTATTTGGGGTGTTGGATTATTATTCTGCAGAAACTATGAAACCAATTTAAAATAAGAAATCAAAGTTGCTGTCATTTACATTAAGCTTATAAGTTGCCTAAGGAGCCAGATGTTCATCTTTAGCTTCCTCCCTCCCTCCCTCTCTCCCTTCATCTTTGGCTTTATTTAAATCTGAAACATGGACCAGAATACTTAGTCCCTAAAATAGAAGAAAGCAGGTTTACCAGTCCATAGCTAGCTCAGTTTCTCTAATCTGTTTACTGACACTTATCTTCCACTTTGAAACTATTCAACATTCGCCTTTGAAAGTGAGACAGTTAAAATCATGCCCATTGTCTTTAGTCATCATTAGAAGAAGAAATCACACATCTCAGAGAAGAGAAATAAATCAAATAAAAACCCAATATTTTTTGGCAATCAGGTAGGAATTTGGATTTAATAATATAAAAGAGACTATATAGATCATGAGCCTAGGAGAAAACCTACTACTACTATTATTCTGGTAAAGGAGCATAGCAATAAAACAATTCCTAATGACATATTGCTATAGTTGTACAGTGCCTTGCTTAATGCTCACCAGAGAAGCTTCTTCTTGTAGTAGACCAGAATCAACATAGAGACCTACAACTGGACAATGGGCAGAGAGTGAGAAACTTCAAAAACTCCATCCTAAATAAGACATTTTCAAGAAAGCCCTCCCCTCAAGGCTCAGGGATCTACATGGAAGAGGAGGCATAAGATTGTAGCCAGAGGTGATGAATGACTCCAAGGAAACTGTCTTCCAAACACAATAGGACTGATGTACATACCCACAGAGAGTGTAGCAGCACATGGAGGGCCTTCAGAGGTTCAAGCCAGATGGGGATCCCAGCACTGAGAGTAATGGGGATCCAACCCCTAACTAAGAAGTTATCTATAGTTGACACACACAGGCAACAGAAAACTCAGTTTTCTCTAACTTAGTGGGCACATTAACCATACTTTAGCATAGGTGCCATGTTGACTAACACAAAAAAAACCCAATGATATTTTTGTAGACTTTTTGTCTCAGTTTTCTTTGTTTGTGCTTTTTTTTGTCTTATTAGTCTCCTTGTTTATTTTGATTTCTGTTTGTATGGTGAATCTCTCTATCTGACTCTGTCTCTGTCTGTCTCTCTCTCTCTGTCTCTCTCTGTGTCTTTCTCTCTGTCTTTCCCTCTGTACACACACACACACACACACACACACACACACACACACACACAATCATGCACAGGCACATGTATTGTTTCTTGGTTTTGCCTGTTTATTTTAAAGGGAAAAATAAAAATAGAATATAAGGTTGGTTTGGTAGGGAGGTGGGAAGCATCTATGAAGAACTGGTGGCAGAGAAACATGATCAAAAATATTGTATGAAAGTGTTTTTCATTAAAAAACAAGCA